TATTACTGCTTATTGAGATCTCAAGCTTAATCACGCCAATAGCAGGGGATCAAACTATCTTTATTCCAGGAGTTCATAAGAGCTCGGATATAATCCATGTTCCATTAATTTATAATACGAAGGAAAATCCATGTTCTATCTTTATCAAACGGAAGTTTAATTGCATTATAAACCAATGTTCCATTATTAAATTATAATACAAAAGCATGTTGCATGTGTTTGCAGGCTTTACAGCTTGAAAGGGCACAACGAGATCCTGCAGAGAAGAATAAAGGGGCTGTTTGGTTTACACGAACTTATTCCAAGTCCCTGTCACATCGGATGTTTGGACACTAATTTGGAGTATTAAACATACAATAATTATAAAACCCATTCCATAAGCTTGGACTAATTCGCGAGACGAATCTTTTGAGTCTAATTACGCCATGATTTTGACAATGTGATGCTACAGTAAACTTTTGATAATTATGGATTAATTAGGCTTAAAAAAATAGGGTGAGAAAGGGTGAGAAAGCACCTCGTTTTCCACGCGCACGCTTCCCAAAATACTAAACGGTGTGTTTTTTGTAAAAAAAATTTATAGGAAAGTTGCTTTAAAAAATCATATTAATCTATTTTTAAAATTTAAAATAGTTAATACTTAATTAATCATGCGCTAATAGCTCACATCGTTTTACGTATCTTTCCAGTCTTACCAATATCCTTCTCCTCGAACTCACCCTAAGGCTCTAGAAGAGCGCATGATTTCACATATGGGTAATTTAAACCGCGGATTAGATAAACTAGAAGGAAGGATCGATGGCCTGAGTGCTGTCTTAGAAAGGGAGGTGCTACATAAAAAGTAATTAACCAATCACTTTATTTATTTACTGTATATATACTAGTATTGCATATGTGTTTTCGTTGCTTGTTTATCCTAATTATGTTCATTGTAACTTTCAGATGCGATGAATGGACACTAAGGGTGGTGGTGGGTCTGACTGGTATATATGGTGTTGCTTTTCTTGTTAAGAAATCATGAAATGCAGAGTCATAAGAAGAAGGAAGATCTTTTCAGAAGCAAGTCAACAAGTGAGATAATGGTCAAGGGGAAAATCCTTTTAAGCCTTTACTTTGGCATTTTTTTTGCTAGTTTAGTGTTTAGTGTATATGTTCTTCACTTCATCCTGGACTAGAATTTAACTTTGCTATCTCTGACTTGGGGTGTTTCTTTAGTGTAAAACCATTCTGTAAGATTTTGGTGAAGCTCCTTTTTTATTGGCAAAATTGGTTCTTAGCATCCAAAGTTTTCAATTTTGGTTTTATAGTACCAAAGTTCACCGTTTACTATAATAGCACCTTATATCGTACCTCCGTTTCTATTTATATGCCTTCCGTCGCACTCTTCTGTTTTCCGTTTTCTTTAACAGTGCTGGAGATCATGGCTGAGAGAATGGATCATCTTTCCCCTTCTTAATTACAGGATTAGTTTTGATCTCCTGACGAAATGAGCGAACGTACTCGTTCCGGGTTTGCATCGTCTGCCTTTGACGCAAACGGCAAATTTTGTCCAAGCCGTTCGTCTCTTAACCAACAACTCCATCGTTTGGTCCCACGCTGACACTCCCATTCTATGGACTACTCTGCACTTAATACTAGCCAATTAATTCAGAATTAGGTCTTGTTTATTTCCCTAAAACTTTTTCTTAAAAACATCACATCGAATCTTTAGACAAATACATGAAGCATTAAATATGGATAAAAATAAAAACTAATTGCACAGTTAGGGAGAAAATCGCGAGATGAATCTTTTGAGCCTAATTAGTCCATGATTAGCCATAAGTGCTACAGTAACCTACATGTGATAATGACAGATTAATTAGGCTCAAAAGATTCGTCTCGTGGTCTCCAGGTGGGTTATGAAATTAGTTTTTTCATTTGTATCTCAAAAACCCATTCCGTCATCCGGTCAAACATCCGATGTGACACCCAAAAAATTTCTTTTCACAAACTTAGTTGTTTGCTCTATAGGAAAGCCAACAAAATGATCTCCGCAATAAAACAAGGTAAAATAGAGCTCGCACCATTGGCAAATTTGTGCCAAATAAAAAGAATATAGAACTACATCTAATATATTTACTCATCTCTCGTTCCATAATACTTAACCTTCTGAATAAAATTAGAGTCAAACAATTAATCTTTGACTATCAATAATATTTGAAACATTTGGTTTGAAGAAATTAGAACATGATGTATAAAATTAGTCTAAAAAATGATTTAATAAACTTAAATATTTACTTTTTACGTATATTATAATATAAACAATAGTGGGGTTAGAAAAAATATTTGAGCCCGGGCAAAAATTTCACCATCAGTTTATTCAAAAGTATTAAAATTTAATGGTGTTTTCGCCGGCGATGGCTTCGCCCCTGAATATTAAAATATACTACCTGTGTCCCAAAATATAAGAACTAACGATCAGATGAGACATTCTGTAGTACTACAAATCTGAAAATGTCTCATCCGATCCTAAGTTCTTATAATTTGGGATGGAGGAAGTAGTTAAATATATATTTTGTAATATGTTTCATAGTACAAAATGTTAAGAACTATATATAGACATAGTGATATGTAGATTTTTTTTTTAATTGTACGATAATTTCTCTTTTGTTTACGGTGAATATAGGACAAAATAGCTAAGTTGATTATATCCATGAGTAGGTTGTTAAAGTGATTTATTAGCACATCAGATTCTATTGATTAGTGGCTGTTAATTAGACTATGAGGTGGGCCTAAACATACAACGGTTGATTGAGTGATGAACGGTTTAGATGTTATCAACGGCAAAGTTTGCCGTTTGCCTGAAAGGCAGACTATGCGAACTCACTCGTCCTGTCGTCCGTTCTCGGTGGCGACGAGCTCGACAGTTCTCGCCATCCCTGTCGCCGGACATCCCTATCGTACGCGGTGACGGTGGCGGCTGGCCTTGTCATGCCGATCTCCTTGCCCTCCTCCTCCCCTGGACGTCCCCATCGCCACCATCGCTGGCATTATGCTTGGAGAACTGCATATGAAATGAAGGTGCCTTCTAATGAATTTCATCGAGTTTTTTTTTAAGAAAAAGGTCATAAGACCTGGCTTCTATTGAAAGTCCGAAGGTTGTGCTGGGAAACCCAGACACCAGATTACAGCATAGGGAGGGACGAGGCCTTCAAGATGAAGAAAAAACAGACTTAGACTCAAACTACCAGCTCTAATTAAAAGAAACACCACGCCCAAAAGGACCAAAAGGGTTGCTCATACAAGCAGTTTCAGACACAAAACACAACCTCGGGGGTCGACCTAGTTCGCGATTGATCGCGAGACCTTATGACCCACGATCAGGTCCCCCCACATGGTTTCTTTTTTTGGCACCACATTACTTCTCTATTTTAGTAATTTTATACACCTAAAGTTTGTACACCTCAAGTTTACACATCTAAAATTTATAAATCAAAAGTTTATATATTGATTCAAATTTAAATTTGAATTCAAATATTTTTTATATATAGAATTTCTATACATCTAAAGTTTATAGACTCAAAGTTTATAAGTCAAAAGTTTATATACCCTATTCAAATTTGATTTTGAATTATATCCGATTCAAATTTGAATTTGAATTCAAAATTTTTTATATATAGTATTTCTATACATCTAAAGTTTATGCACCTAAAGTTTATAAACCCAAAGTTTATAAGTCAAAAGTTTACATACCCGATTCAAATTTGAATTTGAGTACAAATATTTTTTATATATAGTATTTCTATACATCTAAAGTTTATAGACCCAAAGTTTATAAGTCAAAAGTTTACATACCTGATTCAAATTTGAATTTGAATTCAAATATTAGTTTATAGACCTAAAGTTTATAAGTCAAAAGCTTACATACCCGTTTCAAATTTAAATTTAAATTTAAATATTTTTTATATAGTATTTTTATACATAAATAAAGGTCTAAACAATCGCTAACATCAGCTGTGTAAAAATCTTGAGCAATAAAGCAACTAAGTATTCTCCGCACTCAATGGGCCGAAAAATGGATTTGCACTGATCGCGTGATGCTCCCGCACGCGAGCGATCGCTGATTAGCCATTTCGCAACCTCAGCAGACAGGAAGAACTGAAGCATCTAAGACACCCCCTCAACTAAGCTATCACCCTATGCCCAGCCTATTACTTCCAGTGTTGGCAGCAGCGACCTTCATCTTCTCTCCCAACTCCATCATCCTGTTAGCTTCTTCAGCACGCCCTAAAGCCTTCCACTGCAGCAAATAGGAAGCAATCCGAAAAGGAAGCATTAGGGGGGAATAGACCAATTGAGATATGAATATCATATTGTTTCTCATGGTCCAAAGAACCCAACAGATAGCAGCAAGCAAAGTTGTTAAAGCTCTCCTATCATTGTTAGAATTGTGCTTTATTAACAATAAAAACTCCTCAATATTACAGGGGACAGTATCCCAGTTCAAGACATCTCTACAAATGCACCAAGCAAAAGTTGCCATTGGACAATTAAAGAGAATGTGATTGGTAGATTCAATAGTGCTGCATAAAAGACAAAACTCTGAACCATCCCAGCCCTCCTTTTTTAATTGCTCACAAGATTGAACCCTATCTCTAATTGCCAACCAAAGGAAATGTTTAACTTTCATGGGACATGGGACAGGGAGATTTCCAGATTAATTGTAACATCTCATCTTTCACACCTCTAAAAGACATAGCTCTGTATAAAGAGTTGGTAGTATATTTCTTACTAGCCAGTTCAGAATATCAGGAGAGTCAGTTAATTCCAGCTCATCTAGAATTGTCCTAACAAATTTCATCGAGTTCATTTGATCATTTGCCACAATGGCAGTAATTCAATTAGAGGGAACTACTTTTATCTGTTTACTAGCACTAAGTATATAGCACTAGGAAGCAGCTCCTCATGTCTCATATGCATCTTTGTACTTCCAAAATTTTGCCCACAAGTCACAACTCATCTAGAAACAATTTTTGAGCGATCAGTATCATATTCATCTCAATCTCAAGTACATTGCTATAAGATCACACCATACATTTCACAGACGCATAACAATATGCTTATAAACTCTATAGATCACATCATCCAAACTTGGTTCTAAACATTACATGCCTCACGAATTCATACATGGCTAGGTTCATGTGGACTCGTACATTCCACAATTAATTCACATAAAGCTAAAACTCTGATAGCCGCTCTCTGTGAAAATCTTTCTGTCTCCCACATGAACTCACACAGGGCATTAACTTGCATCAATCCACTGAAACAGAAATTAACATGCATCAATGTACTGAACCATGAATTCATCATACACTGGAACAGAAACTCACATCGTTTTACTGAAGCTGTGAAAAATCAATACACTTAGTTGCATCAGTTCACTGCAATAGCAGTTCCTGAATTGATTGGGGATTGATGTGGTAGCAAGCAAAACTGAACAAACCGCTGCCGATCGAGGACGAGGCGTCAGTGATGGGTGAGCATGATGGACAAGGTGCTGTCGCTTTCGACGGAGGTAGACGAAGCACGGCCGATGTTGCCAGGGGATGGCCAATGACTCTTGCGATGCACATCGGTGCCGGCGGCATGGACAGGCCCACTCTATGGCTGAGAAGACCGATTCCACAGGGTTAGAACAGAGACAACGACAAGCAATGGAGGCGACGAAGATGTCCACGGGAGGAGGGCGAGGAGATGGTGTTGATGGTGCAGGGGGACCTTGAGGATTTTGACCGAAGAGGATGAGAACTGTTTGCTAAGGCAATTAATATTGTATCGTATTGTTTACTTTCTTCCCTCCTCGTGAACCCTGTTGTTATTTCATAAACAATGCGTATTTGTTCTCGTTAAGTTCGATTTGTGTAGTTCGTAAATTCCTGAACGTTGTGCAATGGTTTTCATGTTGTAACAATTTTCTATGTGATGAGTCAAGTTGTTAATCGCATTTTATATTTACTAAGTCATGCTGTTTGGACCGTCGTTGCCTTTTTTATATATGTGTTCCCTCTTCAATTCCAAATGGATTATTTATGTGTGGCTATGAATTTGCCATGTTTGTGCAGATAAGAAGGGATGAGCAATAGTAGCAGCGATGACGATTCCTAAGGTACGATGGGCGAGATATCCGAAGATGATATTGAATAATACATTGAAGGATTCCTTGCAGCTCAACTTGTATGACCGCAAAGGGCACCAAGTCGTGTGCCACTACTGACGGGGCAACAATGGATGATGCAAACATTAGGAAATGGACCTCAATGCAGGAGCATGTTTCGTATGCAACCAGATTAGGTGATTTTACTAAATGACATCCTCCAGTACAATTACAACTTGAGAGCGTCCCAGTACAATTACAACTTGAGAGCGTCCTATGAGGTTAGCACTTTGGAAGCAGTAAGATTTTTCCTGTAGACAATGTCGGGGGTGAAGTTAACAAGAGAGCGAACAATAGGTTCGAAAGATCCGGATTAACTATTTCCAAATATTTCAGCCGAGTGCTTCACGCGATAGTCTGTATGGCATGTGATGTAGTTCGGCCAATGGACCCAACGTTCAATACCGTAACTAGGTTGGTGAAACTACACCAAATGTGTTGGTCATTTCAGACTGGAGCGACCGCGTAATTTTTGATGTAACTGGATGGCCGGGGTCAGTGCACGATCACCGGGTGTCCTGATCGAGTGCTATGAGGAAGTATCTTGATCGGTTCCCCAGGGTACCGCCAGGTATTTACTTATGGTACATTTGTTTTTATGGTATTAACATAATTCTTAGTGCACGACATTAAATTTTTTGTTGTAGGTAAATATTTTCTCGTCGATAAGGGGTATGCGAATAGGTAGGGGTTTCTCGCACCGTATCCTGAAGTGAGGTACTAGCAGCCGCAATTTGAACATGCGGCACCTCCCCAAGATAGGGATGAGATTTTCAATTTCTACCACTCCTCTCTGCGCAGGTCGGTCGAACGACTTTTCGGACGTATCAAGGTGAGGTGGCAAATATTGGACAGTATTCCGGCTTACACACCACGTGCACACAACATGATTATTCATGCTGCCATGGCATTGAACAACTTTATTGTTGATAGTACCGAACCAAACTCTATCAGTACCAACCCCCTATACCATACTCATATCCACCCGGTACCGGATGTCTCTCCAGCACATCACACATACCATGCGCGTGATACCAAGGCTGTGATGGATATGGTCCGTGAAAATATTGCTAATAGCATGTATTAGCATTTCATATTTAGCAGTATTTACTTTTGTAATAGTATCGGAGTCATCTGATGTACCATGTATTAATTGTGCTAATATATATGTACTGCTATTTATTTTGCAATTGATGATATGCTCTCTAATATATGTATGTACTGCTATTGATATGTACCAATGTAGCAATTCTATCCATTCCATCTTGTATCCACAACTAGTACTCTGCAAGTTCATCCTTACATCTATATCTTCATCCAAATTTCCTTTATCCTCCATCTATATCTTCATCTTTAGGACTAAAGAACGGGGCCTTAAGCATCATAGTTCATTATTAATGATCAATAAAGTTGAAATTGGCGACGCCGTAGTTTCCTTCAGAAGGAAAGAAGCATTGCAAATGGTGCTAGTTAATTTTCTAAAGGCAAAATTTACTACATGACACATAGTTAGCTGTGAGACACCGTAAAGATATGAATTAGCTAATGGACATCGAATACATTATTTTATTATATCCTGTGTACATTGAGAAAGAATCGGTGTGGAAAGTACTAATTTACCCTCGTGCCAATCAATCGGCGGAGACACTCCACCACGGTGAGACCGCTCCCACACACCACCGTCTCCCGCACCGCCGCCCTCCACGATGTGACGCGTAAGCGCCAGAATGGCCATTCCAAGGAGCCTACTGAGTTTGGTCACCCTCTCCTCCCTCTCGGCCACACTGTTGCCAGTCATTGCTACCGCTCCGGAGACCACCCTCGGCCTCCGCACTCACTGTTTCCCGCTTCTACGGCGTGCCTTCGTGCCACTGACGCGGGGAGACTCGCAGTGCCTCTCCAAGGCAATAGCCAAACTCCGGGCGGCGGCGGCACCCACCATGTCTACGCGTGCCGGCGCTGTGGAACGCATGACGGAGACGGTAGCAACAGTGCCCCCAGTCTTCCTCCTCACTCACACTCGAGGCATTCCCCTGCACTCGAGCCCGCGTGTTGCCTTGCGGTTTCACGATCTGGAAGGATGCATCTCACCTAATGTTTGTGTTGGAATCACAGGGTGCAATCGGCGCGCTCGTGCGCTGGGCAGCATTTGGTTCACTGTTGCGTCCATCTCCATGAATTCATTTTGTTCCCTTCAGGAGCAGCAGCCGCATGGAAGGTCGCTCACTCGTGGCCACGGGGGAATCACCTGATGCGAGGTCATCGTCATGGAGACATTCGCTGCTGGTTAGACATATTTGAGAAGATAAAAGCGGTGGCACGACGACAGATGAGTAAAGGGGATCGAGTCGATGAGGAGCCAATCAGAGTAAGCCACATGTAGCCTCATTACACGCCTAGAGCCAAGCCGAGAGAGCCGAAGGGCAATATGGTCTTTTCTTATTGTTTCTCTCTCTTTTTTGTTCGAAAAAAAATAAAATAATGGTTTCAGTGTCCTCCATCATATTACATGTTTTTTTGGAGTGTCCTAGAGCCAAATCACGTCTTTGCAGTGTCCTACAACTAATTATACGTTTTTTGAGTGTCCTGTAGCAAATTTTGTCTCTAAAGAAGATCAGGGTAGTTCTCAATGCTGCAAGTTGTTCCAACCATATAAATTGATTTATGTACCCTCTTACAATGTAACTTCAAATAAATTTAATTTTCAGATTTTGATAATATTGCAATTGAAGGTGTTTTTACTGAATCGGTTTCGATTGTCTTCTCTTACCTTTTTTTTTCATCTCATATCAGATGCTACGTACAACAAACCACTCTCGATTTGATCTAGAGGGTAATTTGTGATGTTTAAAAGTTTTGGGTGTGAAGGTTCAGTACCACCAAGGAACGTTCGTTTTGAATGACATTGCTGAAATTAAACGAAGTCCCCTCATTTTTCACGAGCATTGCCAATATGATCATACCATATGTAGGAATTTTGTACTTAATATATCAACCTAATACTGGATGAGACACATTATATTAGGATGTCTCGTCCGGTAATAGGTTGCTATATTATAGTACAGAAGTACTGGGTACTGGCAATTTTGTACTTAATATATCAACCTGGGGTTGCTATATTATAGTACAGAAGTACTGGGTACTGGCCCTGTTCGGCTGAACACATGCAGCTGCGGTGTAGCCAACTGGAACAGTGATATCTGTAAGTAGCTGCTGTGACACCCCACACTTTTACCAAGGACGGGCCCTCTCTACATCACATCAACACTACATCAGCACTTTTACCAAGGCTGACGCCCCACACTTCTGTACTGGGTACTGGCCCTGTTCGGCTGAACACATGCAGCTGCGGTGTAGCCAACTGGAACAGTGATATCTGTAAGTAGCTGCTGTGACACCCCACACTTTTACCAAGGACGGGCCCTCTCTACATCACATCAACACTACATCAGCACTTTTACCAAGGCTGACGCCCCACACTTTTACTAAGGTCTAGTAGGAAGGCTGAACACATGCAGCTGCGGTGTAGCCAACTGGAACAGTGATATCTGTTACCAAGGACGGGTCCTCTCTACATTAGCAATTTTACCTAGCTGCTGTGACACCCCGCACTTTTACCAAGGACGGGCCCTCTCTACATCACATCAGCACTTTTACTAAGGCTGACGCCCGCACTTTTACTAAGGTCTAGCAGCTTTCCTACAGCTGCGGTGTAGCCAACTGGAACACAACGCACCCGGGAGGAATTTCCCGATCGGTCACCCATCCCGAAACTGCTCCAGGGCAAGCATGCTTAACCTCGGAGTTTTTTCGAGATCGGCTTCCAGAAAAGAAGTTACAACTTGTTGATTGAGTATTCTATTAATCCTATTAAACCTTGGGTCGGGATGTCACATTCTCACCCCTTTAAGATACCAACGTCCTCGTCGGTCAACCCAGGCCAGGAACATCTCCTATTAGCACCACGTATATACAGATAATTTTCGGCGCACATACGTCATGCCATACGACCACATCGTGGATCATCCCGTATGCACCGTATGCCCGCATACATATTCATATATACGTATAGCTGCAAGGGTCGGCTCTGATACCATCTGTGACACCCCACACTTTACCAAGGCCGGGCCCTCTCTACATCTAGCAGCTTTCCTAAGACATAGACTTTCCTCATAGACTAACATAAGTCTTTTCTGCACACTTTGTCCTCACTCGTGCGCACCCGGGAATTTTAAGCAATTTTAAAAATTAAAAATTATGTGGCTTATATCATTAATTAATCAGGTAACTAGCAAAATTGTTGGAAACAAGAATAAGCCACTCAAAATTTATAACATTCACATATGTTGAAGTAAAACAAATAAATAATGTCCAATATACCACCACAATATATTAATAATAATAACATGGAAATATTATACGAACAAACGCCACTATAAACAGTCAGCATGTATACATACACTTACACTAATAATACAATACATCATATATTTGAATATATGGTTGCACAGGACATACATAATATAGCTTGACCCCTTTTATGCACAAAAGTTAATATGTAAATAAATATTGCCGTCAGACCCATACACAAAGTGGTGTACATTCAACCATTCACCGAGATACCTAGATCGGCTAATGCCGTCTGGCACCTCTCACTTAAGTTGGGTTCATCATCTGGCTAATTAGCACTAAGAAGCCACACATCTCAAATAAATAATTAATCTCACCAAAGGGACCTCAATTCACCAGCAGTAGTAATTTTCCACCAAACACATAGCTCCACATAGGAGGCCTCACACAAGGCCACAAAAGAGAGTAGCACGGCTTAGCACTGAAGTCAAGCAGTCAAAGTATGGCCATGTCTATAGCAATTACTACAAGCCGGTGCATATGCTTATGAACCCAAGCCCATGGTAGGATTGAGCAGAGTTGGGGAGAAGAAAGGTAAGTAGCAGGGAGTGAAGAAGAAATAGCTGACGCCCCCAATTAGCAAAATGCATTATTCATTCCCATTTACCTGTAAGCAAGCTAGCTAGTTCTTACCTCTTGGCCAAATGCTCAAACCACCACCAATCCACCATGCCGGCTAGGAAGGGGAGAGAAGAAATTGGGTAGGCAGGGAGGTGATTTACCAAGGAGGAGAGGCCAACAGATCGGCGAGGACGAACACGGGTGGATGACCGTGGACGAATTCGACATCTAGACAAAGGTGAACTTTGCACACAAGAAGACTTCGGAAAGTAGAGTTACAACCTCTCGTAGATAAAGTTGGATCAAGGATCCTTGGTTGGAAGGGGCGTTTCTTCACCTCTGTAGGAAGGGAGGTTCTGGTTAAAACAACCCTCTCATCGACACCTATCTACCATCTCACAATCTTGCATAAGAATAAGTGGCTATATAAAAGGATTGATCGATTTCGGTGTGCTTTTCTATGGAAGGGGGATGATCCAGATAATGTCAGTTCGGGTAGTAGTCTCATTAACTGGCAGAACGTTTGCAAACCTAGGAATTTGGGGGGCCTCGGTATTCTTAATTTGGAAAAATTCTCACGAGCTTTAAGGCTGCGCTGGCTTTAGTTTGGCTGGAAGGAAGACAATAGACCTTGGCATAACATGGAAGTGCCTTGTGATGAATTGGACAGAGTGCCTTTTCGAGCTGGAACAGTCATTACCCTAGGAAATGGAAAGAAATGCTCTTTTTGGTCTGATAACTGGCTTTAGGGTTGCTCACCTAAAGATTTAGCTCCAGGGATCTTCAACCTGTCCAGGAGAAAAGGAAACAATGTGCACCTCAGCCTTCAAAACAACCACTGGCTGCCAATCCTAAACCCCATTACCACGATAAGTGAAATTGATGAACTGGTCCAGCTGGGTAGCCGTTTGCAAGAAGTCATGCTCCTTGAAAACACCCCCGATGACATTCGTTGGAAATGGACTCCCAATGGAGAATACTCAGCAAAGAGCGCTTATGAAGCACAATTCCAAGGTATGATTACTAGCATAAACTTCTCTCCCCTATGGAAGGCCCAGGCGGAACCAAAACATCGTTTTTTTGGCTGGCTCATTTTGCATCAGAGAACCCTAACGGCGGAAAACTTGCTGAGACGTCACTGGCTATGTAATTGGATATGCAGTCTGTGTACAAACGCTTTCGAAGATGCAAATCACTTGGCCAAAGAATGCAGCTTCACAAGAAATGTGTGGAATTTAGTATGCAGCTGGCTTGGTTACAATCTCTCCCCACAATCTTGGCAAGACACACCCATTTCGAATTGGTGGGATTCCTTGATTTTTCTTGCAAAAGGAGATTCGGCAAAGAAGAAGATTGGAGCTCTACTCACAACGTGGTGGCAGGTCTGGCTCGAGCACAATCGTCGAATCTTCCATCATAAATAGCAAAGCGAATCACAAGTAGCTTGCACGATCAAAAAAAATATTGAATTAATTGAGCTTTCGAGACAAGCCTAAAGGCTGTCTCAGCTGAGTCGTTTCTCTTCTCTCTCTGTAATAGGCTTTATGAGTTTAT